CCAAGTCAGTCCAGATCCATGGCTTTCTCACCATCATGCTCATAACTGCCACCTGTCCTCTCCTAAGCCAGTGCTTCTCAGACTGAGCGGCATCAGAATCATGTGCGGGTATCAAAACATAGGCTGCCAGGCCCACCCAGAGCTAGATTCAGTGGGTCTGAGCATCTGTGCTTCTAATAAGTACCCAGGTGGTGCTGCTACTGGTGGGGCAGAGACCACGGACCGAGAAGCACTTCTGTAAGCAAAGACAATGCTGCTTAAACTTTGACAGACTACCCTGTTAACATGCAGACTCCGGTTCAGAGGCTGAGGAAGAGCCTGACAGCGCATTTGGACCACTAGTCGCAAGGCCCTGGTGCTCAGTGCTCAGCCCCCAGAACCCTGTCTCCCCACCTGCATCTGAAGCAGAGGGAAGACAGCATCTGCCACTAACTACAGGACCTGCTCGTTGCTGCCATTCTAAAGGTAGGCCTACCTGTTCTCTCAGCCAGCGTGAGCTCCCAGTGCGGACCTGAGCCTGGATCTGCAGACTGAGCTCTGAGGGTGTGTCTTTTTGGAGAGTTAGAGTCCCACTGAATTTCCTTTCAGATTCTTGCATGTGGCTTCCCATCCTCCTCAATCATATATATATAGTGACACCTTGTCCCCCTGCCCACATCATGCACCCCAGGCAGTAAGGAGGCTGGCCCTGCTCACAGCTATTCTCTCCTGCCCAAGTCCTTCCTGGCTCCATCATTGTGACAGAGGAAGCGCTCCTGGGCTCCCCCTGCTGGGATAAATGAGAAAGAAACAGGATTTGGGGATAGAAGAGGGAAATAGAGTGGATGGCAGAGCAGGAATAGAGGTGTTTGCATTGACGTTTTGATAAGAAGAAGAATCTGTAGAAAAGTACTATAAATTTGGACCTAAATGCTGAGCCCGCTGGGTGCAGGGAGCTGAGAAACAAGAACGAGGAGCTGATGCCTGAGATACCTATTGGATGGAGAGGCAGATATTAAAATAGAACAAAACAAAAACTCTCTCTCTGAATAGGCAAGCGAGGCAGAGCACTTATAGGAAAAACAGGCAGGGTCTCCATTCAAACATCTGTTGGACAGCTCGTAACCCTGGGCAAAGCAACCACTGGCTTGCTGAATCTCATATTCCCATCTGTAAAACAGGCACAATACAAGCTAACTTGCAGCAGGGTTATTGGGGGAACCAGAAACCATGAATTTACACTTCCAGACAACCCACAGGCCTGCAAATACAGCTTTGATTATGAATGTGTGGGTAGTCCTCAACATCTGGTGAACATCCCAAAGCAGGAAAGCCTGGCATGCCTCTAGTAAGTGATGGGAAAAAATTCATTTAAATGTACAAAATGGCACAACATTATTTTTATTTAGTCTGCGGTATTATTTTATTTAGTAAGTACAAAAGTATTTTGAGAGTTTTTCTTGTAAGCTCTGTCACCCCAAGTAATTTTCCCCCCGGGGCCTTAAATCCCTGGAATACAATCTCTTTCCCATGGATTCAGGACACAGACCTTGACTCACCAGCACAGCCTGAACCCTGATGGACCTTGGTCTGCTGGCAGGAAGGGAGAATCAGATGGGTAAAGAAACAATGACAGCAATGTGACTGTGAATCACTATGAACCTGTGTATGGAAGCAGAGAGGTGCTCTGAAGCAGGCATTCCTCTCAGGAGAAACGGCCCTGCTGGGGCATTAAGGAGGTGACGGCAAACTTTAGTTTTCCAGGAAGCTTCGGAAGTGGGTGGGTGGGAGAGGGAGAGGTCAGTTCAGGAGGAGGCCATGAAATGGGCAAAACTGCGGTGGAGAATGTGGAGAGGGGGCAGCAGGGGTACATCTGGGAAGGCTGTGCTAAAATGTTTGAATTCTACTTGTCTTAAGAATGATAGAAAGTCACGGAAGGATCTTTCTTTATCTTAGTGTCATTATTGTTTTTTAATCCTCACCCAAGGATATTTTTTCCATTGATTTCTAGAGAGAGGAAGTAGGGAGGAGAGAGAGACACACACAAACACACACACACACACACACACACACACACACACACTGTGAGAGACACATGGATTGGTTACCTCCCACACATGCCCCTACTGGGGCTGGGTAACCTGCAACAGAGGCACATGCCCTTGACCTGGAAGAGAACTCACCACCCTTTGGTCTGTGGGCCAACACTCTAACCACTTAGCAAAACTGGCCAGAGTCTTATAGTGTTTTGATTTTTATATTTTGCATGTGAATAAAATTTTAAGCAACAGGAAAGGAATACCGAGAACAGTAATTTCCCCTTCCTCCCAAGACCCCCTAGCTAGGGACAGCCAGTGTTCTTGTCATAGGTAGACATGTGTCTGGTTACTGATGGATTTTAATCATCAAAGTGACAAGAGGATGGATGTATGGGCAAGCAGAGAGGTAAAGGGTCTAGTGAGGAGGTTTTTGCAAAAAACTAAATGTGGAGGAGAGAACAGAATTAGGAAAAACTTCCAAATTCTAATTAACTGGACTTGGTGACTCACTGGACATCAAGATGAGGGAGAGATGGAGTCGGTGATAGTGTCCAGCTTTCTGGATAGTTTACTCTGTGGATTGTGGCATCAATAACTGAGCTAAAATTGGTAGTTGAGCCTGCTGTCTCCCATCCCTATTTCTGTCTTTTATTGATAATATACTTCAAGTTTTAATTCAAATGATTCCACATTCCAGCCTCCCTAGTAACTCCTTGTGGCCCCATGATTCTGCTGGTGTCAATGGGATGTGAAGAAGTGACATGGCAACATCTAAGTCATGTTCCACAAGGAAGCTGCTTACCATCTGCTCGCTCTCCTTCTCTTTCCCTCTGGTTGAAACGTACTCCTGCCCACATCAGCCTCGACCACACAGGAAGGGACAAAGGCTTTGGGAACAGTGGAGCAGAGATGCATAGCCATCCTGGCCTAGTACATGAAAGAAAAATATCCCTCTATCTTATTTATTCCATAGATAAACTCCTTGTATTGAGGACCACTTTGTTATGGCAATTTAGCTCCTACCTGAACTAATTGATATATAGAAGTAGAGATTTTTTGTTTTGTTTTACTCTGAGGTGGGAAGTGTGGGACAGGTGGAGATAAAATTGTTTGACCATGAAGAGCTGTATTGCCTGTGGAACACTAAGAGGTGACCTTAAGAGCGACCAAAGCCAGAGATGTGAATTTCGGAGGGAGCAGCATAGGCAGTAGTTAAAGCCAGAGCAGTAGATGAAATAGACAGAGATCATGGGAAATGAGAGGAAAAATAGTGAAGAACAGCATCTAGGACAGAAATTTGTAGGAGAGACACATTTACTTTATTTTTATATTATTTGTTAACATGCCTGTTTTCCCAACTGATTATGAACTCTTTGGATTCATGGATCATAGCTTTTTCATACCTAAATAAAATGTCTGGAATACTTTATCCAGAATAGGTATTCAAAATTCTCTTAAGAATGGTGCTCTTGAAATACTTAACATTTTACATTTTAGCAATAGATATACTTTCAATTTTCCTGTTCATTACTATAGACATAGTCCATCCGAGTCTGTCTTTAGGTGCTGGGATTTAGAGGAAAGAGCAGGTGGGCCAGGTAGGACTGTGACAAACTTGAGAGAGTTTGTGTCCAGGTGAAGAGGCAGCTGCCATTCAGTCAAAAGAACAACAACACAATAAAAATGGGCAAAAGCCACTTCACAAAAGAAGATACCCAAATAACTAGTTAGCACAAAAAGTGCCCCAAATCAATAGCAATCAGGGAAATGCAAATTAAAACCATAATGAGATATCCCTCACACCTAGGAGAGTGTCTAAAACAACAACAACAACAACAACAACAACAACAAAATTACTGACAATAGTGAATGTTGGCAAGAATATGGAGAAACTGGAACTCTCAAACATTGTTGGGGACAGTGCAAAATGGTACAACCACTTTGAGAACCACTTGGGTGTGTCTCCTAATGTTAAACTCACATCTGTCCTATGACCTGGTCATTTCTCATGTAGGAATTTACCTGAGAGAAATGAAGCCATCTCTGTCCCCAAAAAGACTTGTGCAAGGACATCCATAACAGCAAAAAGAGTGGAAAGAACCCATCAGCAGATAAATTAATTTTGGTATATTTGTGCAAACAGAACTCGACTCAGAAATACAAAGGAACAGAATACTGATATGCTCAGCAACATGAATGAATCTCTTATGTGGTACAAAAGCATCCAGACACAAAGACTCTACACTGTCTAACCCCATTTATATGAAAGCCAAGGACAGGCAAAGCTAATCTATGGTGCTAGAAGTAAAAAAGTGGTCCCTTCAGAAAGATGGAGGAGGCAGAATTGCCTGGAAAAAGGCACAGGGAACTTTCTGGAATGATGTAAATGTCCAATATCTTGTTTGAGTGGTGATTACATGAATGTGTTCATAGTCAAAGATCATCAATTTATTTAAACAACAAAATAGTCTTTTATATTATTTATCAACATATTTCTTGTAGCTCTAAGTCTATCATTTTGAAAGGGTGTTTTCTTTGGATATGGGGTTCTAGGTTGATATTTTCCCCCTCTTACAGCACTTTAAAAACATCATTCTACTGCCTCTGATCCAATAGCATCAACTGTCACTCACATCCTTGTTCCTGGCATGTAATGTGTTTTTATTTAATATTTCATCTTTAGTTTTTCTTTTTAGCAATTGACTATGATGTGCTCAGATGTGATTTTTCTAGTTGTATTTATCCTGTTCGGGGTTCACTGAGTTTCTTGGTTCTGCAGATTGTTCTTTTAAAGCCAAATTTGCAATGTTTTGGTTATCATTTGTTTTTCACATATTTTTTCTCCCCAATCTCTCTCTTCTCCTTTTGTCAACCCAGTTATGCATCTATTGGACTGCTAATGTAATCCTACAGGTCACTGACACTGTTCATTTTGTAAAAAAAAACACCCCAAAACCTTTCCCCCTCTGTTCTTTTGATTAGATGTCTGTTGGTGTCCTTCAGTTCCTGATCTTTTCTTCTGAAATCTCCAATCTTCTGTAAAGCCCATCCAGCAGGTTTTCATCTCAGAGATTCCACTTTTGTTAGAAATTCTCTAACATTTCTATGAGATTCTTTTTATATATATATAGATTTAACATCTCAGTTTATTTATTATGTTCCTCTTTTTCTAGAAGTGGTTGAATATCTATATATATAAAAACCCTAATATGCAAATAGATTGAATAAGGGAACAACTGAACAACAACCAGTTACTATGACATGTGCTGACCTCCAGGGGGCACGTGCAGAACATGGCGGGTGTTAACAGCAGGCGGCAGAGTGCAGAATATGGTAGGCATTGGTCATGGTGAGATGGTGGAGCAGGTGAGTGGGGGTGCTGGACCAAGGCGGGGCACTGGTTGCTGTCATCAGGGAGAGCTTTTGGTGGTTACTTAAAATTATTTGCTTCTTATGTGCCCAGTCCTGCTAGGTGCCTGCACCTGCTTCAGGCATATGGCGCTGGCTCTGAGCGCCCCCTGAAGGTTTCTCCACCTCCCCCTTCTCCTGAGGAGAGATCGGGGCAACAGCTGCTTGCACCTGTTGATGGAGCCGGCCTCACTCACACCCGCTGCTGGCACTGGCCCCAATTGCTCCATGCCATCAGCAGGTAGGAGCAGGGCTGGTGCTATCATCAAGTGGGAGCAGTGATGGCGGGAGCAGGACTGCCAGCAGATGGGGGATCAGAGGCTGCAGTGGGAGGGGCCAAGTGGGGGCAGTGGGAGGGGCTGGGCAGGGACATGGAGGATGGGCCAAGACTAGCCCTTATGCCCACTGTAGCCTCCTGGCCCACAGTTCCTTTCAAGGTGTACAAATTTATGCACTGGGACCCTAATGTACATAATAGTTTTTAAAATTTCCTAATGCTAGTTGCAACATCTGGGTTGTTTCAATACCTGTTTCAATTGACTTCTTTTTTTGTTTCATTATGGGTCCTGCTCTCTGTATGACTAATTTTTTTTGACAACGTTAATATTTTTATTTGTAATGAATTCAGAGTTCCCAAAATACATAGAAAGTTATAGTGATGAGTTTCCCTCCGCCATACTGTTTCACCCATCTGGTTCCAGTCCACCCCCCACACACATATACAGATAACCACTGTTCACAAATGTCATGTTAAGAACAGCTTGCATAGTTGCTATTGCAGTAGGCTGTGATAGAGAAGAGTATACACAGATTCAATAAATAATCTGGCCCTTCACCCCACGTTCATTTAGCCAGGCATTTAAGAGAATTCTGCCATATTGGCCTTGTTGTATCACCTTATCCCCGTATTTCTGGATCAATTAAACAATAAGTTACGTAGGAACAGCATCCACAATCATAGAATCCACATCATGTTCTTTCTGAGCTGTTGATCCATTGGTCTCCTTTACCTTTGTGCTAGTTTAGTTATTTGAGCATAACTTTAATACATTTACCAGTCATGTTTCTCCTCACAACAGAACTTGCCTTTCTTCAGAAGCTATAGGTGATTCAGGCATTACTTTGGGTTGGATTGGGTTGTGCTATTTCAACGAGTAGAGATGAGAAAAACATCTGCCTTCTCTACCACATCCTCTAATTAAAGAGACAGACAGTAAGTAATTCTTAAATTCTCCTTAGAAAATTCTCTCTTCTTCCACCAAAAATGGATAAAATTTGACATTTCAGTAATGTATCTGATAATGAGTCATTTTCTAACATTCAACACAAGACATTCTAGGAATCTTGCTTATTAAATAATAACATACTTTGGTTGTAGCCCTTTAAATAAGAGAATTTGAAAGCTGTAACTGTATAACCAATTACCCCAAAACTTAGTAGCTTACACCAACAATGTATTTTAAAATTACAGGTTCAACATTGTGGATAACACATTGTAGGAAGTTTGTATTGTGGAGACTTTCTTAAACTCCTTTGGTTTGGTCAGGTGTGGTTTTCTTCTTTATTAGAGTCTTTCAATTTCAGTTTTCTTTAGTCTTAGAGAGACTTTTATTCTAGGTCATGATCTTTACTCCTTATGCAGGACCTTTCTCAGGTCTTCACTGTTTGCTCAAGGTGCTCAGAGAAATGTCTCCGTCACCCCCACCCGTGCTGGGCTGGAATCCCACCTCCTGGCACTGCATGACTTCTGGTACCTCCATTCAGCTCCCAGTCTGCAGCAGCTGCCCTCTGCCAGGCTTCTCTGTGCAGGCGCGGCCCACCCTTCATCTAAGAACAAAGATACCCCCTCCATCCCCTGCAAATTCCTGGGGGCCTGCTCTGCTCAGCTTACTCTTCTCCAGTGGTTGGCCCCGAAATTACTTTAATAGCCTCGAACACTGGCATCTGCCTCTGCAGGTCAGTGAGATGGTGGTTATTTCCTGGAACACCTCTCCGTGCTGTGGTCTGGTCAGAGCCCCAGGCAGAGAGCTGGGGCTAATGTGGGACTCGGTGTGTTTCCCTTCTCTTGTGGTGTCCAGTGCTTGGAAACAGCTGCCTCATATAATTTTTCTGTTTTACAGCGGTGTGGAGTGCAGCCCTAGTTATTCTGTTATGGCTGTACAGAAGTCTAGGCATAAGTAGTTGGTAAAAGCATCCAGGTGATTGTAATAGGCTTCCATTTGCTCCCATGGAGATCCCTGACTAAAAATTAAGGTCCTAGAAAAGCAAGAGTCACTCCATTGTTATTTGTAGCACATGACTGATTTGGGGCCAGTAAGTAGTCTTCCGATTACAACTTTAGCTTTCTAGATAGATCCACTTATAAAGAGATCTATTTCTCATTATAAATTAACAAATTGATATTTTTGTTTTCTCTATCAGGCTCTAGTATAAGATGTTTCCTTGACAGTCAGAGTCACTCTTGGTGCACTACTCTTGGTGTACTAATGAATAAAACAAAACCTGGGCCACAGTGACTCCACCAAGGTCAACACCACACTGTGCTGCCAGCCTGGTCTCTCCATCTGGAACCATGACGTGATTAGCTAAACTGGCCACATGCCTCACCACCACCTTATATTTTTATTTTAAGAAAAGTTGTGTTACAGAGTCCTGAGATGATGACCAGGTTCATTATTGCTGAAATTTAGGAAGTCTTTACATAGTTACTTACAATATAGAATTGGTCTAGTTATCATATTTTTTCACCAGAATTCATTTCCCTAAGAACTGACAGTTGGCTGAAAGACTGTAGTTTTGATTTTTTTTTAAAGTGACCTGCATATTGCATAAGCATATATTGCAACTTATATATTATTTTGTTCAAATAAGCTGCCAAATTAAGCAAAGATTGATAGTACTTGTGAATAACTCTGTGACCTTGGTGGTATCTGAATGAATAAAAATAGTTCATAGTGGCATTAGACAAGAAAATTCAAATGTGAACCCTGATTAGTTTACAAACCCTCCTCTGAACTTCAGACCTCTAGAGCCTCACTCAATTCACTGGATTTAAATTACCTGGGTACATGTCCATCTCTCCAATACCCAGGCACACTCTGAGGTCAGAGACTGTGTCGCATTCCTATTACTCCTGGCACAGTGACGGGGATGTCTCCTGCGTTCCATCAAGTGTACAAAATGAAGCAGTAAATGTTCCACATTAAATGTGATTTGCCCTGGGCTGATCAAGATACAAAGAAAAACAGAGGGTGATCCATGTGCATGAGACACTCACAAGGGGAGGTGATTGCATCTGCATAATTTGTGTGATTGTCATTGAAAATACACGCTTTGCAAGATGCTCTCCGGCAATTTTCACGTTAGATGTGTACAGTATGTCATGTCTCTCCCTTGCTTTTTATTATCTTCCTGAGACACCGACTGAGACCGTACAATCGGAAGACAGCATGTGGTCACGGTGGAGTGAGGTAAGGACCCAGCTCTGTTATTCCTCACAGTTATATGACGTGGGCTTCTCTTTCATTCTCTATAAACATGATTTATTCATCATTAAAATGGTGGTTGTATTATTTAGTTTACCTTTCTCCTAGGGTTGTTGTCAAAATCAAATTAAATAATATGTGAAAGGGCCTTGTAAACTGTACACCACTGTAAATATTAGATTTATGAAGTCACCATTTTATGGAGACAGCTGACGCGGAATTTCAAGAAACTGTTTGTCCTCAGGGGAAGACAGTGGCAGCCCTTGGTATCCTAAGTTATTCCAGGCAGTCAGTTCATGGTAGTTAGGGATAAAATCCACAGATTTAAAAATATCAATGTTAACATATATCAGAAAGTAGAATTATCTTTATTCATAAAGGATTAAATATGTTAGAGAATCACAAAATAGACATCTCCATATAAAATAACTAAAATGTGGTATGTGTATAGATGTCAAAAAATTTTATAAATATAAAAAATGTGTTGCTGCCAATTGGAATGAATCATTGTCTCAAAGAGAGTAGCAGTTTTAAAGTCTTGTAGTTGATAACCTATTTCCCATGGCAACCGAACTCAGTCTCTGGTACATTTAAGGGAGTTTGCAGTTTTGAAGTTACTATGCATGGGTAAGCACCTAATTGGAATAGAAACTGAAAGGACTTCAGAAAATCACATTTATTGAAATAAATCTAATCATGGCAGTTGACATCACTGGTGTGAACATTTTCCAGCTCAGAACAAATCTTTTCCCTACAGGAGAAGCAGGCAATTCCCATACCTGGTTGTGCTGAGTGGTCAATCCTTCAGAGAAAGCAGTATGTTTGGAGCTGTGTCATCACACTCAAATTTCTGACAGCAGGCTAAATCTACTAGATCTCACTTTCTTTAAGATAACACTCCCTGACTCCCTGCAATAGAGGCTAGGACAGAGATGGTATGTATGTCCCTCCGCCCACCTCCACTAATGTTGTTACACAATGAGAAGACTCAACTCTGCTGATCAGATAATTTTGCATTCTACAGATTTTGATATGCTGTGTTTTTATTTTCACTCAAAGTCAACATATTTTCTACTTTGCCTTGGGGTCTCCTCTTTGACCAAAGTATTCCTTAAAAATATGTACCAGGTATTTTCATAGTATTAATTTATAGCCTAATTCTGTTAGTCCTAAACATTTTGTATTATTTCAATTCTTTTGTGTTATCTGAGGTTTGTTTTATGGTTCAGAATATGGTCTATGCTGCTCAATGTTCTGTGTGCATTTGAAAAAGATGCTGTTGTTGTTGGATGGGCTGCTCTCAGTGCCAGTTAGGTCAAGGTGGTTGATACTACTGTTAGGTCTTTTATTCCCCTCCTGACTTCCTGCCTGCTTGTTCTATCGATACTGAGAGAGGAAAGTTGAAGTCTCTAGCCATAACTGTGTGTGTGTCTATTTCTCATTTTAGTTCTATCAGATTTTGCTTCACGTGATTTGAAGCTCCATTGTTAGGTACACAGATATTTAGTATTGTTATGTAATGGTCATCTTCATCCCTACTAATATTACAGGTCTGAAGCTTACTTTGTGTGACGTTGACATAGACACTCAATTTTTCTTTTGATTGGTGTTAGCATAGTACATCTTTCTACCGTTCCTTTTACTTTGAAGTTATCTGACTTTATAATTGAAGGGTTTAACTTGCATGCTTAGAAGAGATATTTTTGTAAATAAGAAAATGTCCATTATGTTTGTGATCCCAAGATTAATTTTCTTTTCTGGGGTAACTTCTTAAAGTTTGCATTTTGACTTAGCTTTTTAAAGCTATGAGAGGAAGGAAGATTGAAGAATCTAATTTGAGGTATAGGAATTGGTACCATATTAAGTCCCCATTAGTCTGCCTAATACTCTGCTAGATCCTTTGCTCTCATCACTGAGTGTGACAGGATTATTTTCCCCATCTTACTGATAGGCAATTACTTAATGACCAGAGCAGAGGCTGCTAGTGGTCCCCCATTTTCATTCTCCCCTTCTTCCACAATAATAACATAATACCTGAGTAAGGTATTAGAGTACATTTACCAATCTTTTTTAATGAAAGTTGTCTTGTACTTCTGGCCAATGAGATCCAAGCTGAAGTGTAATTCCTGGAAACTTTCCCCCAAAGAGAGCACTCTCTGGTTCTTTGCTCATTCCTTCCTCCACCCTACTACCTGCAGTGCCGATACGATGACTGTAGCACCACTGCCATACCAGACCACAAGGACAAGGGCCACAGTCTTGGGCACTAGAACAGTGAGCCATAGCATCCTGGGCCCCTATGCACTCTGTGGAGCACAATTCATACTTGCCCCTGGGTATTCCTCCTGACTTCTATATAAGAGAGAAATAAAAATCTACCTTGATTAAGCTTCCATTCTTAGGGAAGTTTGTTTTCTGTCCCTGAACCTAACCCTAATGAGTTAGTCTGGCACCAATGAACATTATAAGTGTTATATAATCACAATCTACTCCATGTTTGGACAGATCCATGCCAGCATCTGTTACGGTTTTGTGACAAAGTCATACAGAATTGGAAGAAAAGGCTATTTTATTTAACTGATTTTTTTCAATTTACTAAATTAAA